CTCACAATATAAATCATTGTATCGGCATAATAAATATAACATTCTGATATTAACCATATGATGTATTAGTTTCATGAATGATTCCAAAATGTATATACATATTTTGTCAGTTTTTTTAAGTACACACAACAGTAACCTAGGCCTGTTGGTAGGGTCAGCAAATGACAGGGAGTGAACATAGTATATTTAGGCATGCTTCAAAAATAGGCCTATTCAGATATTAACCCTGTCTCGTAAAGTCCATGCCTCCTGCTTCTTTATTATATGGATGGCGAAACAAGTAATGAGCAATCTCCTGACTTAGATTATGCCATAGGATATTTTACACAATCAGAGTATCCTATTTCATGATAATATATTTGCTTATTTCTTCGAGAGTAAAGATTTCATAGTATTAGCAGGAGGAATTTAAAATTAATTCATCATTTTCTGAATTGAATTATTTGACACGTTTGCTTTTATATCAGTGGGGTAGGATAATGTGTGGTAGAAATAAACTGAAATCGGCAAATGAAACGTTAGTATAGAAATTGCAGAACAGATAGCCCTATGTGTAAATTTGCGCATAACAACAAACAAACAGTTTATAAATTAAATCTTAAATATCATTTTTTAAAATTTAAACTGACAACGCTCCGACTGAGAAATCTTCCTAAGCATCTTTTGTAACTTAATTTTAACATTTTTGGATGAACGAATTTGACAGGAAATCTTGTGCCACAGTCACGCGCGCCCCCCAGTGGCACAGCGGTATGTCTGCGGACTTACAACGCTAGAATCCGGGTTTCGATACCCGTGGTGGGCAGAGCACAGATAGCCCATTGTGTAGCTTTGTGCTTAATTACAAACAAACAAACAAACAGTCACGCGCCACCTGCTTGTTGCACGTGCTATGGGGGTACCTTGTTGTTTTTTTTTCTTTGTTGGGCTTCAGAGAATAGGATGAATTGGTCGTTCGAAAAGTGCACCATATTTAGAGTCAGTCATAATGTCTAAAACACAAGTCAAGATAAGGTACCTTGCCTTCACGAGCCTTTCAGACGCCACATTTCATGTCTGAATCGTATGATTGGGCAGAATTGGCGGCAAAGTTTATTGCGTCATAATAAGTCAAGTCCAATCAACAGGTGTACAATACACAACACTGTACGGAGCGTCCCAGAAGAGGGCGCTCCCAATGTAATACAGGGGCCCAAGTGAAACCTGTTTATATATTAGTACTAGTTTTGGATCGCACTACAGGTGTTATTGAAAGCGATAGAAATTTGAAAACAGCGTTTAGGGATTTCGGTCCTCCAGATTTTAAATATTATTATTACTGCTTAAAAAATTAGAAGTAACGATAACAATTAAGTTTAGAAAATGAAGACAATGCATATAACGACTGATTGAAGTAGTAATTTTATTCTTCTTCATTAAGACTTATGATGACTCCTAAATAATTCAAGCCAGAGGATGGGATTCACGATATGGGAATCAAACTTGTAATGGTAGCCTTGCATAATTCTTTAAGTCTTTATTGAATTACTAGGCCTGGAAACCTTTTCTAAACAAGACCTTTTTTTTTCCTTCAGGAAGTTGCTGATTCTCCATAGTTTTGAGGTATATTATATTCATTTTTATATTGTACTTACATTAAAATGCTGTAATTGTGTTTCTTACTTATTCTAGGTTCTCTAGCACCAAGTATCATTTAAACTGTTGCTAAGGGAAGCTACTATTTTAACATGTGATCAGATGAATTATGGGGGACATTTTTTTGTCCTCTGCATACTAAGTAAAATATAAACTCTATAATAGCCATGGCACTTTCTATTACCAAGTAATTTATGATGTACAATAACGTGACAAATATATAAATCAATAATGCATTTTTAAATCAAGATTTGTTTCCTTCTGCTTGTTGTAGGTTATCTACATCCAAGCTTTCGGCACGTGCCAAGGTGGGTGGTATATAATCTAGAAGGCGTTTTGAAAGGGTGGGGCTTCATCGTCCTTTCCAAGTCTTGTCAGAATCTATGTTTACTGTACATGCTGCTGTTTTGTGGACGGTAAGTGTGTGTATGTTCAGACAAGCCTTCATATTTTACGTGCGTGAAAGAAGTACATACACAGCAAGCATTCTTCGGACAAAATAAGCTAATAATTGTGCATCATAACTCTAAATGTCACCTTAAGATTTAGAAAAAGTATTTCATTTTTCTAGTAAGACTTAATTGGCCCAGGTTATAACTTTAAAGGTTTAATAGCCTGTCCCCCAAGAATAGTTAGTATTTTTTGTTTGTAATTAAGCACAAAGCTACACAATGGGCTATCCGTGCTCTACTCAACACGGGTATCGAAACCCGGATTCCAGCGTTGTAAGTCTGCAGACATACCACTGTGCCACTGGGGGGCTAGAATAGTTAGATTGTTACTTATCTAGCAAAGTTTATTTAGTATATTTCCAGCGGAGAAAAGATTATTTCATTATCTCTTTAAACTCGTGTGTTTGGGTACCCTATATCCGAGATCATAACTAAAAATAAAATTAATCCTACGACAAGTAATATTGATTAATTTACAAAAGGGTAGGTGATAGTCCGCTGCCATTAATTGTGGCAAGGTTAGGGTTTTGCCATCACAATATTTACTGTAGCATGAGACTGTGCTACTCTTGTCAAAACATTTAACTGAAGAAAATTTTATAACTGGTGTCACAATTAAAGCAGAATTGCCCTGAACTTATAAATTGTTAGAAGCCATTCTAAAGCAACAAACTTACAAACAAAAAATGTTTCCAAGTCTCAGACCCTTCCTTTTTTCGTGCATGGCCAGGTAGTTAGAGCACTCGACTCGCACTCTGCGGGTCGCGGGTTCGAATCCCCGTCACACCAAACATGCTCGCCCCTTCAGCCGTGGGGGCGTTATAATGTGACGGTCAATCCCACTATTCGTTGGTAAAAGATTAGCCCAAGAGTTGGCGGTGGGTGGTGATGACTAGCTGCCTTTCCTCTAGTCTTACACTGCTATATTAAGGATGGCTAGCGCAGATAGCCCTCGTGTAGCTTTGCGCGAAATTCAAAAAACAAAAGAAAACAATCCTCTTTCGTGTTCAAATCATTTCTAATTGAAATGTCACTGTTTCACTCTCTCCAGACTTAGCCAAGTTAAAAAACTGTCAAGTCTCCATTCCCTTCTACTTCATGTGGTAGCTAAGTGATTAGCATGCCGGACTGTAAAGCTGAGGAGGTTCCCTGGTTCGTGTCCTGTTAGCGAAAAACCTAAAGAAATCGCGCTCCGCAATGTAGGAGCGCTATAAAAGTGACGGCCAAATCCATATACTCAATCTGACAAAAGTTGGCGGTGGGTGGTGTTAACAAACCGCTTCTCTCTATTCTATAACCTGGGAATTAAGGCTGTTGAAGATGACCCTCGTGTATCTTTTTTTATTGCGTGAAATTCAACAAAATCCTACTTCATGTTGATTCAGATCTTTTCAGTTTGGAAAGTTATTTTCTTACTCTCTCGCCCCAGGTTTAGACGAGTAAGAAAAACTGGAAACGATGAAAATTTATTCATAACTAGTTAGTTAAACTTGTATAACCCTTATTGAAAAAGCGTTAAAATATATTCAAAATTAGTTTTTTAATTGTAGGACAATTTGATACAAAACCTTTCAACTTTTCTTCTCAGCCACAAATTTATTTAACCCAAGACAACAATCAACAATGATGTTCGGTGGTACAAACTAGAGTAACACATTATCCAAAACTAGAAATAAGATTGAGATCAAACATCAAATATATGAATAACGATTATTTATTAGAGAATCTTGCGAAAATTTCTGTAAATGCTGTGATCTAACTTATAAACATTTGAAATAATGTTATTAAATGTTTAAATAGTTTACTTTTAGACCTCTCATCCTATTTATGTTACACTAAAATATACGTTTAACTTCCTTGTAATTTTTTCTTCCATTTTAGTACTTCAATTATTAACTCCATTAGAATAGCATATATGGGCAAAGTTTGTTTGAAGTTAAGCACAAAGCTACACAATAGGTTATCTGTGCTCTGCCCACCACGGGTATCGAAACCCGGTTTCTAGCGTTGTAAGTCCACAGACATACCGCTGTGCCACTGGGGAGCCTGGGAAAAGTTAAAATAATTTATGCTATTTTTTTGTTCAGGTCTTGTTGGAGAAATTTACTTTTCAGAGCATTTTCAAGAGAACTTTTCGCTATTACCTTCAAAAATTACGGATTCGCCAACTTCAATTTTTCGACATCTCTCAAAAAAATTGAAAATACTTGATTTTTTATTTTAGTTTTGCATGAACCACAGCTAACAAGGAAAACTGGAAACGAATCTTCGATCAGTATTTCATGCTTTTATTAACAGTTAGTATTTTATCTAGTTTTTTTCTGTCTTAAGAATTTTGACGGTAAATTTGTTTAGCGGGTTTGGTGAATTTCAATGTGTTTGGCATATATATGTGTGTCACAGAATTGTAGTGACAATAGATGGATTATTAATTTAGTGTAAATTAATGAAACTAAGCATTTTTCGACTTTAATTTTTACGAATTGATTCTAAAGAAGGTGTGGTGTTCCATATTCAACGAACGTCTTGGAGTAAAGTATCAGAAGGTAACCTCTGTGAAAGTTATACAACACCCACATCAACTGTCCATGGTTCATAAATCACGAAAGACGTTTGGCCATTTCATGTGTGCAATAGGAGCACATTACCCCCATCGAATTGAGACTGTTACTCACGTTACTAGTTTCAAGTTACTCTCGGCGAAGTACATACAGTAAAGTCTGCCAGGCCTAGGGTTAATTACTCTCTTCTGTAGTGGACTTTACCATCTGTTTCTTTTAGTTGATTGGTTAATCGGCACATTCGTCACAAACACGTTCAAAAGTTAGTGGTGCGTTTGTTTTTAATCATGATCAAGTAAAATATTTTGGTTTTGGGTCGTATGTATTTAAATCATGAGTGAAGGAGAAAGAAACTCAACGTCATGTAGCATTCGATGGACAGGAGAAGTAAGGTAGCAAATCGTTAGTGTGGAAGAGAGTGGTAAGTATAAGAAAACGAATAATAACATACATCTTGTGATCACGAAAAGCTGATTTGTGTGTGGCTGCTAATTCTGTTTTATTGTTTTCCCGTTTATTAATATGTATATGTAATAATCTATACAGAATTAATATAGGTCTGATGTAGCCTCGGAGGTTAGTATGTAGGGCTGCAAGTAGGAAGATACAAGGCTCATTCCGCGCTGTCACTGGATGCTGTGGATGCGTTATAAGAGTGACAGTCAGTCGTCTTATTCGGTTCAAAGCCGGTTCAAAATTATTGTGACTGCGGGTGCTACTGATTGGCTCTCTTCCTTTTGGTCAATAGCTCAACATTATTAATGGCTACATTTGAGTCCTGGGGGTCTCTGACCTAGTTGTTTAGCCTTGTAGCATAAGGTGATACTCAAGTTGAAAATAGCGTATTAAACCATATTAAATTTAATATAACTGTTACAATTTATAAATAATGTAACGATTTTTTCTATTGTAAAACTAATGACTGACATCGTTCATGGGAGCTTTAATAGTAGAAGGATACTAATCAATCCTATATTCACAAAATTCTGTAGAATTAAGGTAGCATTAGTGACTCGTTATGTATAATAATTAATAATACAATGAACGAAACAGTAGTTGACATGTACTGTTGTTTCATTTTTTAATTAACTGATTCTTGCAGGTACTTTTCTTCAGTTTCGAGTTAAGTAATGATACAGTAAGCAGTAAACCTCATCAACAAACGTAATAAAGCCAGTTTCTTCAAAAATCCGGTCGAAATGGCACCTGTGCCGACACCATCTCCTGCTCAAGTCCTAACCCCGAAAATCACAGAATTACAAATGAAGCAATTGATGAATCAGCGTGATTCCATGTCTATGGACTATTACAAAGGTCTTCTTAATATGCCTGGTCAAAATAACTGCTTCCTAAACAGTGCTGTACAGGTATGTACCATTTGAACTTTAATAAACATACTGACCAGCATTAATCAACAGTTTCAAGTATCTGAATTCCGAAAATGTTGATTTGTTACGTAAGCACCATAATTTTGCACCGTATTTTAGTATATCAAGTAATGACTGATGGGTTCCAATAGGATTTTGAAATGATGGATTTAACAAAGCCTTAAAATATAAATTTCGAAGAAACTTTAAATTTTGCGATAGAGTGACCATAAAACTTAGGGTATGTATAAACCTGATAACGTTAAGCCAGAAACCACGAGGACCATCGTAATGACCCACCCACGTTTGTATAAAAGGGATTTTCTCTGTAGTTATTTTCTACTCGTACAGCTTTAGGCCTAACACGTTTATCCAATCGGATTAAAACAATGAAACGGGTGCACATCTATCAACTATTCTTTTGTTGTTGTTTTTTTTCAATGTTGTTGCTATTAGTTCTAGTACAACAGTTTCAATTAGTAAAAACTTTTTGTTATTTTATGTAATTATGAGATGGTTCCTTAGTAAGAACAGCCAGAAGATCTCCTGCGGCGTTTCAGAAAGTTGTATATATATATATATAGTGTTAATCCTTCTCAAGACAAGCCCTTAGACAAGACCATTCGTTTGTGCTTTTGCTTATGTCTCCGAAAGGATTGTTGCCAAAAGAAAAAGACAAAAAATTAAAAAAACAGCGGCCTTGAGACCACATAAGCTATAGTGAGAAACAGCAAGTCAACATTTTCTGTCTAACATACTATTTCTTTCGTGACAATATATAAGAATCTTTTTAATAAGAAATTTTTAATATGTTTTGTCAGACAACACCGACAGCAAGACTTGTAGAAAAATATGCTTATACCGTTTTCTCATGTGTAATATAAACTACTGGGTTTTAATTAACACCCATTTTGTCTTAAAACTGGAAGTTCATTATGTATACTTATTCACACTCCTACACACTAGATACTGATTTGTTTCTTAAAATATTTCGTACGAAGCTATGTTTTCATCTTGTATTTATTTGGAATTGGAAGTAATCTTTACTTAAGAAATTACGACAGCAATTAAATAACTATTCAAAAAATCTATAGTGGTGTACGAATACGATCGCGTCTTGTCATTTGGCACCGAGGGAAGTAGAAATGTAATAAATATTTTTTTTTGTTCACCAAAATATAATTTTATGATACAGTTAGCAGCAACGTTCGTATTTAAATCACCTTAATAAATATTGGCTTATAAAGTTCAAATATTTTATATGTATATGTGTGTTTAATATTAAATACATTGTGACAGCCTAATTTAGATTTTTTGCTCTTGGAAGATAAAACACACGTCACAAGCAAAGTGTTCATCATCTAGCACAAAGGAATGATTCTAACGAATTAGCTCAACCAAACTTACATCGTGTCTCATTCTCTTGCCTAATTTAGATTTTTTTTGCTCTTGAAAGATAAAATACGTCACAAGCAAAGTGTTCATCATCTAGCACAAAGGAATGATTCTAACAGATTAACTCAACCAAACTTGCATCGTGTCTCATTCTCTTGTCTAAGGTAAAAGCATGACCACACACAATGCTTACGTCATTCATCTCGAGGTTTTTGGGATCTGTATCTGGAGCAAGAGACACACCTATGTGTATTTCGTACGTGCACTGCCTGAACAAACATTGCACGTTTACAGGTTTGTACAGTCAGATCGTGACTCTATACTGTGGACTGGTACTATATAATCGAATGACAATCTCGTCTGTCGATATGAAAATATATATATATGGTAATAATCATGCCCTTATTATTATTATTATTATTATTTTCAATAGCAAATTCTGAGGTAAATGTCTTATTGGGGATTTATTTTAAACTATAATTTTGCTGGGCCGAGCGTGGCCTAGTAATTGACATGCTCGGGTTGGTGTTTTACGTCTCGTTATCGCAAACCGCACTCTGCTGTTTGGGCCCCGTATAAAGAATAACAGTCAAATCCCACTTGAGGTAGCTGCTGTTGATTAATTGCTTTCTCTCTAGTCCATCAGTTCAAACTATAAATGGTTTTGCGCAGGGATCCCTTGTGTAGCTTTTCACGAAATTTGTGAAGCAAATTAGTTTTGTCTCACAAAATCTGCATTATGTTAAACATGTTTATATATCTTAATGCATAGAAGTTTTGTTTTTCAAGCATTGCTACCAGTAGTTGTTCTAAGAACCTATGAATTAAAGCAGAACAGAATATTTTATAACACATCACTAGTTGAGTGATGCATAAAATATTAAAACATTAGCTACTTTGCTAATTCCAAGCAATTCGAAGAAACATGTTTTGTCAATTAGTTTCATACCCCTACCTCAGGTTTGATGTATCGTAGACCATCTGGATGACTATAATGTTTAGTTTTTCACATACTAATTGAAATAAACAAACATACAGGTTTAAAGATTTCATATAAGAAATGCCCCCCCCCCCCTCCTCAATGAACAACTGTATTTCTGCTGACTTACAATGCTAGAAACCAGGTTTCTATACCCGTGGTGGACAGAGCACAGATAGCCCATTGTGTAGCTTTGTTTTTAACTACAAACATATAAGAAATACACTTATTCCAGTTCAAAAATTCATTACATCTATCGAGCAGGCTATTTTTTCTCTTAAACAACAATAAGTTTAGAATTTTTCTTTTATAAATAGAAGCTTCAAGCACTTAATGCCGGTAATGCAGTCTGTTTTTTGTCGAATTGCTGAGAAATGTGTTTTGGTACTTCAATGAGGTTCTTGCAAGCGGCACTCGGCGGATACAGATTAAAGCTGTTTTAAGTAAAGATTATTGGTTGTTTGTGAGGTGGAGGGCAGTGTAATCTTTTGATGTTTATTTTAGCGTGAGGCGAGAGTGGAAATCGTCAAGGTTCTTGTGATTTACCACTTACAAAATCACTGTTAATTTCTATTTTGATAAAACCTTTGAAGACCTTGTTGTGTTTCTTTCCTGATAACTTAGTTTATATTGAAGACTTATTTCTGTATATGTTTATTTTAGGGGTAACGAAAAAATGTCAATAAAAAATAACAATGAAGCAGTGAAAATATGTATAATACATATTTTAAACCTTTGTTTCGGTTTTTAATAAAAATTTCGAATCCCGTCATCACACATGCTCGCCCTTTCAGTCGTAGTCTGTCAGTCAATTCCAATGGCGGTGGGTGGTATCGACTAGCTACCTATCACTTCTAAATTTAGAGGCAGTTCGATTAGCTTTGCGCGAAATTCAACAAACAAAGAGATCAATAAAAATAAGCGTAAGCTTGGCTAGTGAAGATTGAAAAAATATAGTTTTTATAATTAGACGTTCAATATTCTGAAGGAATCAAGTCATTAATAAATACTGATCCAACGTTGACTATTCTTAGCCCTATATGTTTAATAAAACAGAACTAAACTGTAAACATTTTTGTATAGTGACTTCACATGTTTTTTAAAGACCCAAACACAGCGAAAGTATGAAAGTGAAGTATGGAATGTTATTTTCATTAATCGATTGTTTAAAGTAAATATAGGAATTATGATGCTTTTATCTGAATCTTCAATTCTACATATGAGTTTAAGTAGCCCTATACACTTGAACGACGTACTTTGATGTAACAAAGTGGTGGTCAATGTGCCCCTGTTTAGTTTAGCGGGTCAATCCGGGAATGTTGTTGTTTACGTTAGGGTGTAAAGATTAACTGTTCTGGACAGTAAAAATACTTGAGTGCTGTGATGTCAAAAGAGAATAATAAACTTGGTTAGGTGACAGGTTGTCATGTACGATGGAGTATTATTCATAGACGGTTGGTCAGCGTGTCCAATGTCAAAGGGAAAATGATTTAAATTTTTTTTTTAACTTTCTTGTAAGAGTTTTGGAGCTACGTATCAGTCCATAAGTCACATTTCCTGGCAGTCACTTTTTTATCTCTAGAGATTGTCAGTTTGAGAAAAGTCAGCCTGTGGCCTCAGATGTTTATGTTGGAAATTCCGGTAATAGCATATTTTAAATTCGCAGACATTGGAGCGCTGACCCATGAACAGGGATGAGCTTTTTCACATTCCTTTCAAAGAAAGTTCGAAAAGAACTCTTAACAAATAAAAAGTTATATAGGTCCTGTAAGGTAATAAATATAAATCATGTTAAATTTTGGAATTCTGCTTCTATGAATATCGATTTTCAATAGTAAGGCATAGTAGACAAAATTTATGTTGGAGGACAAAATTATTCTTGATTTATGTATTATAATGATTCATTGTATGTTTTTCTTCTTCGGGTATAATCACTTTTAATAACATATAGCTATCTGCACAAAATAAAATTTCTTACTTCTTTTATCGGTTTTTAAAGTAACATGCTCTCTCATCGATATGATATTTTTTTTCTTCCCTTTCACCATTTCATCTCGTTAAACTAAACTATTCAAGAGTTGGCAAAGTTTGTTAATACTTCTATATAAGAAAGAAGTAGAAACGCAAGCAACTGGTTGATGTTCAGCGATCATATGTCAGTGCAACTTGTCACGTTAGTGTTTGTCTTCTTTAGTCTTTTACTGATAAGAACAGTTGGTTAACCTTTGAACTTGGTGTAGTAGTGTAAGAAGGGAATGCTAAGAATTTCACTTTTGCGGGCCCTGAGTAATAATTTTTACATCAACCAGGAAACGACAACCGACTGAGGAAGGTATACTGTAAAAAAAGGAAGAAAAATATTATTATGTTACGACATCTCGTTGATGTCCTGTATTTTGTTGAGATGAATAAAAGCTTAATTAACTCAGAATGGTTAGTAGCCTAATTACATATTGTTTTATTAATTACTACGTAACTGCATCGTATTTTTCGGCTGGTAATCTTGTGCCGTCTGTGAGGAGGTCTAGAGAAGGACTATTTATATCGTAATAACGACAGGGATATGATCCTTGCTCTTTCTCATGAAAGTGATATCCACACATCTAAGACCTTTTATATTTACACT